CTTGCCGACTCGCCTCCTCGGCCCCATCAGCCGCCTCACCTTCATGAGGTGGGGAATCCAGGTGAATAACTGAGTCGTTCGGCTGGGGTTCAGCGTCAGCAGTGGCTACAGAGGGAGCCACGGTTGACGATTGGGGAGCGGTCAGTGGCAGAGCGGTAGGAGGAGCTGTGATGATCCTTGAGGATGCGATGTCCTGGCACTCATCAAATATACGTTCCGCTTCGGTGGGTTCTGGGTCGACATAGACCCCCAGGGGTTCGATCCCCAGATCCTTATCTACCTCATCCGGAGTGGAGCTGGTCTGTCCCTCATCCGGAACCCGGTCGGCGAAACCTTCCCGGAATCCTTGAGCATACCGAAGAGCACCGACCCTGGAGAACCGAGCGTGAAGGGCCAGCATCCCACCACCCACTCTGCTGATAGCGTCGATCAGAGCGGTACGCTCGTCCAGAGCTCTTTTTTCAAAAGCCATCCGAGCAGACTGTTCATCAGCTAGAAGGCGTTGGAGTTCTGCCTTCTCTTCTCTGAGTGATTCCTGCTCAGTCTGCCAGACGCTCTTCTCAAGCTGGAGGGCGTCCTTCTCATCCTGAAGGGAATCATTCTCCTTTTTCAGGAAATCTCTCTCTTGCTCGGCTTTGTCAAGCCGAACCAGCACCTCGGTATTCTTCATGGCAAGGAGGTCGTTTTCTTTATTAGCCACCTCCAGGCTGTCAGAATACTTTCGGGCCCTGGCGTTCCCCATTTCCACCTGCTTCTGCATGGCCATCATCCCGAACAATGTCTGCATAGGTGCACAATAAGAACGGTTAAACCAATAGTCAGAACGGGCGAAGGCAAGACCAAGTAATATAAGAGAATTCATGAGTTAGAAAATAAAAGTCACCTCCATAGCAGATTGGGGAAAGCGACTGAACACGTCCTTCTGGGAAAGGCCCTTTGCCGCCTCAATGTCCTTCGGAGTCCACATGCTCCTGTAGTAGGCCATAGCGGTCTGGCCATCCTTCAGCATGGTCTCGTTCGGTTTCACGAACGTCCCATCCGTTCGAGTGTACCGAGGGGCCCATGGCGGTAAGCTGGGGATAGAAGGGGGGCCTGAAGCAGAAGCAGAGCCACCAGCTGCAGGAGGCCCAGAGGGAGAAGGAGCTCTGATCGCTCGGTGCAAGAGAGTACCCGGCCCAGAGACTCGGGTCCTTCTAATAAGAGGCTCCTCCTCAGGATCGATTTCACTGTCAGGATGAGGCCTTTTGCCTCGCTCTTTGTCCCGACCGCCCCCCGCAGCAGCAGGAGCTATGGTAGCTGGGGAGGGCGCGTTCTGGTTGGCAGCAGGGGCGCTGGCAACAGGGTTAGTAGCCACTGCGCTCGGGACAGTGTCAGATATGGTGGCTAAAGAAGAAGCCGACGCTGGAGAGGAGGTCGCCCCAGCAGCAGGAATGGCTGGGGGAGTATTTTTCCTCCTGCCAAAAGAGGGAATCTGCAGTCTGCTCATATTGTAGCCGAGTGATGAGAGCGCAAAGAGGTTGTCTGAAGTGAGGAGATCTGAGCAGGAAGGAATATCGTTCAGAACGTATCTCTTCAAGTAGTTACTCCTATCCCTGCAAACACTGTAGCTCAAGTCATCACAAGGAATTCCCAAGGAGCGGCATAAGTAAGTGCAAAAACGAGGAACGCATGTTTCACAGGGGCAGTCATGTTTATGGGATTTGAATTTTTTATAGGAGGAGACAGAGCAGACACCAAAGGCGCTCGGGATTGGGTAATCCTCTGCAGCCGGCGAAGACCAAGCCCCGCTAATACCCACTATGCTATCCCTCCAACCCTTTTCAGATTTTATTGTGTCAGTGCATATGGACATCTTCTCGAACGGGTAGAGGTGCTAGAAGGGCTCGTTAGTACGGATCTTACTGACCTTATAGCACAGAAGGAGGTCTATGAGGTCAAGGTCCAGATTTCTGTCACGCATCAATAATAGCATAACAGATATGATCCTAAAGAAGTTGGGGTTGACCTGCAGAGGGGATATCCCCAATCTGTTGAAGACGTAACTAAAGAAAGGGTGCAGAGGGAACCTAACAACATTCAGTTGAAGGTTCGTGAATAAGACTTCGCCGGGCAGGAGGCCGGCGCCGGTCGTAATATTAACGTCTTGGGGGCAAACCCTAACTTCGATGTTGTCAGGAAGTCTAAGTCTCATACGAAGAACACCCAGATCTACAACCATGGTGGAAGTGCAAGAAGAATCTAAAAGAGGGAAAATGGAAGCCTGCCGAAAGTAAAAAGAACGAAACTAACCTCGGAGGACTGCAAGATCGCTGGGAGAATGACTCTCGAAGGATTTCACCAGAAAAGGCTTAGCACAGTTCTAGAAAGAGGGAGATTTGGCTGATGAAGGAGACGGTAAAGGGAAGTGAAGTGGAATTCTAGAGCATTATAAAGGCAAAGGGGCCCGAGGGCCGAAGCGTCGGGAAGGCAAGAAATCCCTCGAACCCCGGAACATTGATTCTGGATCTGACCGTTCGCTCCCCCACGTGGTTATCTCGAGCCGTCAGCGTCATGATGAGACGCCATCAATAATTACCCCTTATTAAATAAGGGGCAATTATGGGGGCAGTTGAGGAGGCCCTGGATGACATGGGCCAGGTCCGACTCGCAAAACACAACCTTCAGTCCGAACAGCTGGGTCAGCCCATAGAAAGACACTGCCATATGGGCCGGGCGGGAGTAAGCCCATCAAGGGTGACCAGGGCTTACAGAGGAATAGGCCCAGGTCCAGCAATTAGTAAATATCTTGTAAATATCTTGTAAATATCTTGTAAGTATCTATAAATAGGAGTTGGAATGAAGGGGAGGGGGAGCTTTTTCGGGTTGAGGTGTAAGAATTCTAGAGAGAGAAAGAATAGAAGGAGTTTCTTGCATCTTCAGTTGTAAATGTGTTGGCAATTCAAACACGAACATGACACATTCAATTATCGTGTTAATTTGGGTTGACACAATTCTGACACGAATACGATTAAGTCAAACCCAAATCCACTTATCCCGTATCGTATTAGGTGTCGTATCAAATATTGACGCCCCTAATCCTTATGTTGCGTTTGGTGTGCATAAATAGAATAGAATGAAATGTCCATTCCAATCATTTATTTATTTAGTATGCAATGTAAACTGTAAATGGTCATTCCATTAGAATGAAAATTCAATTTACAACAAAACCTATTGAATAGCCATTCAATTTTCTAGTAAAAAAAATAATAATTAAATTCCCTAAAAACCCTCATGTTTAAGTAAAAAAAAACCACCACAAACCATTGTCGCCGCCACCAATGTCTTCCACCACCTTTTACCACAACCACCGCGTTCACCACCACCACCTCCATTCCTTTTACCACCGTCAATGCCATCACCACTATTGTTGCCACCTTTAACTATCACACCGCCGCAGCCTCTGTTGCCTTCCACTGTCACTGCCATCGCTATCGTCTTCCACCACTATTATCTTCAACCACCGCCATCTCCATTGCCTTTCGCCACTGTCATTGTCACCACTACCGTCACCATTATCGCCACCACTGTTGCCTCCTTCCACCACCACGACCATCGTCGTCACCTCCACCACCACGCCACCGCCACCATCATCGATTTACACTACCGCCATTGCCACCTCCTTCCACCACCATTACCGTCGTCACATTCACTGCCTTCCACCACCACCGCCACCTACTCCATTGTTGCCTTCCACCACCACCGCTCTTCTACCGTGACCATTGCATTCCACCATGATATATTACCCATACCACTCACGCCTTCCACCACTATGACCACTACTTCCACCACCACCACCTTCCACTACTGCTACCACTGCTGCCTTTCAACACCACCACTTACACCACTCCCGCTTTCCATCTCCACCACCGCCGTCGTTTCTTTTTAAAAAAATTATAGGAGAATATTGTTTTGTTAAAATAATTTATTTGTGGAATATTTTGGATAAATTAATATAAGATTTATTACATTTTAAATTTTAAATTGTTCTAACCAAGCACTATAGTGGGTATTATTATTCAATTCCTATGCATTTTATATATACAACCAAAAAATAAAATGGAATAACCATTCCATTCCACTTCGATTCTCAGTTCACTCCCACTTGTCTTCCATTCAATTTTTGCATACCAAACACATCATTAATGCCTTTATAATTATCAACGTAAACTTTAACTTTTTTACCAAAGAAATTGAAAAAACAGTGTTATTTCAATTGCCAAGTATATTACCACGTGTGTTGAGCTCATTGAATGCCAAGAGCTTGTGAATTAGGCATGTTAATAGATTAGATTTTATTGCAAATCTGATTCAAAGATTTAAATAAAAATAAAAATAAAAATATTTAATTTAATAATTTGTAAGTGAAAGTTACTCTATGACAGCTAATCAAACAAGCTAAACACTATACCAAGCCAAGATTGGATTTTAATTCGCCCAAACAAACAAGGCATATGGCCCATCAAACAAGGCACGTGTATGGACTTCAAAAACATACCCAAACTTAGCTACACAAGAATTCGATCTGGTGTCGATGTCATCCTAACTTGTAATAAAGTTAATCCATTGAAAAATCATGAATCCAGATACAGCGTACACACACACACATTTATAAAGATATTTGACATCTGTAGAATTCTAAAAATAAAATTGAAAACTTGAATCCAAATATAGTCACACATATAAGTATATAGGGAGTATTACATACATACATAACGTACACGTGGCACGTGGAAATTTCCAAATTTGAAATCAAAACTCAAACCATATATGTTCTATAACTTAAAATAAATAATAAAAATAATAATCGGGTGCTAATTTTTCATTGTACGTGCGACTCACCTTCTTCTTCGTCTTCTCTCTCTTCAAAACTCATACATACCACACAGTCGTCCACTCTCTCTCTCTCTATATATATGTACACGTATCCCACATTCAAACGTAACCCCATTCTCTCTCTCTCTAAGCTGATATTATATATCCATCTGGTCCCAAGCCACCATGTACAGTTTGGTAACCTGTTCAAACTGCAACACGCAGTTGCAGCCCCCGCCTGGGACCAGATCGATACGCTGCGCAATATGCAGCGCCATCACGGACATCGGCGGCGGCAGCGGAGGCGGTTATGCTCCTCCGCCATCCTATGGACACCAGCACCACCACCAGGCTATGTCACCGTACCACCACGCTCCGCCGGGACCACCACCTGCTCACGGGAGGAAGAAGGCAGTGATATGCGCCATATCGTATAAGAACTCGGGATGCGAGCTCAAGGGTTGTATCAACGACGCCAAGTGCATGAGATACATGCTCATTAATAAGCTTCACTTCCCTGAGTCTAACGTTCTCATGCTAACCGGTACATTAATTCATTGCCTTCCTATCTATATATGTACAAATAATTTAGTACATTATTTTTAAAAATATATATATATTATAAAGAAAAATGATAAAATTTTATAAAAATTCTTCCAAAAAGGAAAAAATAAATAAATAAATAAATAAATCCTAAAGAAAAATTATATATTATAAAGAAAAGGTAATTTGTAAAGAAAAGGTGCGTGATAGCTAAAAACTCTTTAAAAATATATATATGTTTTATGATGTCATATAACGATTTCATTCAATATCATGATATCATCGAAATGTTATTCTTTGCATTAAATTTAACTTCTTCTTTCTTTATCTTTTTTTTTTTAATTACTTTGGTTTTGAATGCATCAATTGGACCTATAGAGATGGAAACTATTATTTTTCTTTCGAAAGTGAAATGTATATATATAAGACTGTTTTATATTAGTGAGGGATGATGTCATCACCACATCATTAAATATCATGATTTCTTCAAAACGTCATTCTTTACTAAATTTAGTTGGATAAATTCAACTCTGGACTATGTATTGTTACTCTGATACTAATTGTTGTTGGTGAAACTGAAAATGCGCAGAAGAGGAAAATGATCCATACAGAATTCCAACAAAAAAGAACATGAGGATGGCAATGTTTTGGCTGGTACAAGGTTGTCAACCAGGAGACTCTCTGCTGTTCCATTATTCAGGTCATGGGTCACAGCAAGTGAACCATAGTGGAGAAGAACTGGATGGATATGATGAGACATTGTGTCCACTGGACTTTCAAACAGAGGGTATGATTGTTGATGATGAAATCAATAATACCCTTGTCAAACCTCTCCCTCATGGGGTTAGGCTCCATGCTATCATAGATGCTTGCCATAGTGGCACTGTCCTTGATCTACCTTACCTTTGCAGAATGACCAGGTATATATGTAGCTTAATTCAAATATATATATATATATTATTCAACTATTCCAAGATCCAAATAATTCTCAAATTCTAAATATGTCATATGTATATATATATATATATATGTATCTTCTTTCTTGTTAAAAATAGGAGTGGACACTACGAGTGGGAGGACCATGGCCCTGAATCAGGTGCATGGAAAGGAACATGTGGTGGTGAAGTCATCTCCTTCAGCGGTTGTGATGATCATCAAACCTCTGCAGATACAGCAGTAAGTTTATTTCTTTTGAGATTATTACATATAAATGGTGTTAATGATCTATATTTACTATTTAGTGGCGTAAAAATCTTATAATTTCGAAAAAATTAAATTGACCAATATACTGACGTGAACATAGAAAAATACTGTATACCTTGATATACCACTTTTTGTGCATCAAGTACCACTTTTGTTTTAGATACCACTTTTATCACATAGGTACCATTTTTTGTACACACTGGTATTACTTTTTGTGCATCTAGGTACTACTTTTTTTGTGCAATACAAAAAAGTAGTATCTGCATGCACAAAAAATGGTACCTACATACCTAAAAGTGGTACCTCAGTTAGGGTAAACAATGTTTTTTCATATTTTTATTTTTTAGTTAGGGTAAACAATGTTTTTTCATATTTTTATTTTTTCGAAACTATGAGACTTTGACTCCATCAAATAATAAATATGAGTCATTAGCACCATATATATACGTAATATTTTCATTTCTTTTAATATTTTAATTTCCCAATGCATTACTAACTAATACAAGAAAAAAGAAAAATATTAAAAGGTTTTTTTTTTGGGAGCAGGCATTATCAAAAATCACCTCAACAGGTGCCATGACTTTTTCTTTCATCCAAGCTATCGAACACGGACAGGGAGCCACATACGGTAGCATATTGAATTCCATGCGTTCCACCATTGGTAAAACTGGCGGGCTGACACAGGTATTTTAATTCCCGCGTTATTATAATATTTACATGAAAGGAAAAGTTTTCTGATGATTTTTTGTGTGTGCCCCATCTGATTACAGGAACCGCAATTGACTTCTTGTGAACCATTCGATGTGTATACAAAGCCATTCTGCTTGTGATTGATGTTTTGTGATGCGCTCTGAAATTGCTGTGATCATTATTTGCAGATTTGTCATTGTATTTTGTAATGGGGTTTTCTTTTAAATACATTGTATATGTAACATGAAGACGGGTCTGTAATTATATTTGTGAGAGAGAATTTAAAGCATATTGCTTTTGATTTGAAGTTCTGGACTAGCTTCTACAATTATTATTTTTTTAATTAATAAAAAAATAATTTAAGCTAAATAAATATTAGATATATACTTCCTTAAATTTTTTAGTAGGCATCATGTATAAATGGCTATTTTCCTAAAGCAGACACACAATATTGATTCCTTTGTGTAACACGCTATATTGATTCCTTTGTCGTATAAATTCAATACCATATATTATAATCTTATCTTAGACCTAAGGCTTTGTAAAATCTCGAATTTAAAAAAAAGTAAAAGAAAAAAAAAAAAGAGGCTTTTGGATTCTTAATAATTTATTGTTATACAATAATACCATATATTATAATCTTATCTAAGAATCTTAAATACTTCAAAATTGGCAATGAGAAGTAGTGCTTATCTTCTTCTTTCTTATTATTTATTTATTTTAATTAAAACGTGTATTATGTATTTCGACTTTTCTGAATCCCTTCATCTGTTGAGTTCTCATAATATGATCTATATATATATATATATATGTATATTCCTTTCTCATAACTTTTTAACTCTTTGTTTATATCTCAATTTCATGGTCAATTGAAAAAACTAGCAAAGAAAATATCAAAAGATTCATGTTAGTGCTTTCTTCTGAAAGTCTTTTTCATTTTGCACATTTGACCATTAGGTGTGTAGCCTTTTCAAGATAAACTTCTCATTTCTTTGAATGATAAAATAAAAAATAAAAAATAAAAAAAACTGTAAATGTGTCAATTAAACAACCATTTTATCACATGATACAGCTCATGTGCATAGCAATTTCTCCATCATATGCCCATTGTACCCATGCCTAATTAATTCATATGCATACATTCCTTCATAGGATGGTGAATTTTTGGGATTTATTATTCTTTTAAAAAAAAGAAAAAATTTGGTTTTAGAGAGTTATGAAAGTCTCTAAAATTATCTTTTGACTTGCATTTAAAAAAAGTAATGATACTATGTCCGACTCTTACTTGTAATTGTCACGTAATTACCAAAATAGTTGATATTTTATTTAAGCACTAAAGATATCAAAAATAAATATGGAAAGAAGTTGAAGATGTTTTGACGAACCCTCTTTATCTCTTTGATTTATCCATTCCTCTTCTTCATTACGCTGTTCCCTTGATTCTTTATCTCGCATCCACTCCATAATAAACTTTTGAAATTTTTTATTTTTAATCAAATCCCCAAAATTGATACAATATATAGAAGCCAAAATATATATTGAAAAAAAAAAAACATGAATACATATCTTAAATCTTACTAGGGTTTGTTTTTATTTTTATTTTTATTTTTTTCTCAAATATATACGTATATATATATTTTTCTCTTTAATTTTATGAACCAATATAGACTTTTTAATCATTTGTTTTCCCTTTAATCTTGCAAAGTGGAAAAGAGAGAATGAGAAATCAGAGAGATAGAAAGGGGTCATCAAAACCTCTTTAGCTTTTTTTCATATTTATTTTTAGTACATGTACGATTCGGACTAGGAGTAAGCCAATTTGATTGGACATAATATCATTACACTTTCAAAAACTATGAAATTTTTTGCCACAATTATTTTAACTTATATACTTAGCGCATCTCCAACAATTGTTTATATATTTTTGTGTAATTTTTAGTTATTGTTTTATACTTTTGTGTAAAAATATATCCCCTAATAATAATCAACTAGACTCACATAATTTTTTGTACCTACCTAATATATGATTTATTTGTTAATGGAATGAGAAAGAGGGATGAGAAAATAATTATATTGATGTGACTGATAAAAATATGGTGTAAAATACACAACAATTTTACACATTGATGCAAAAGAATTATATTGATGTGACTATATAAAAAGATTGTGTAAAATACACAACAATTTTACACATTGATGCCGGACATAAAAATACACATCATACGTGTATATTTTTACATAAACAAAATATTTTAATAGACTACTGAAAATGCTCTTACTATACGGTAAAATACACATTATAAGATTACCATCCAATTTTTAATATCTAGTTTAGTAGAAATGAGCTTCACATATGGTGATAGATTGAGAAGAAGCACATTACACCATAACCTGTTTGTGTCTCAAGAAAATACTGAACCTTATTATTAAATCATAAACAAATACTAAAATTTCACACTTATTATTAAATAAAAATAATAATAGAATGCAACCTCGAACAGGTTCCACGAATTGAGAAGTCAAGCAGAGCTCAGCTTAACATATAAAACTCTCAATCCAAACCAAATTTATTATGCCCTACACAAAGAGCTATTTCTCATCCAGTTTTAGTTGTTTTTTTACTAACAAGACTCAATTTTTTAAAAGCCAGAAAATACCATCTGGTTAAGATCATTAACCCAATGATATCGTTTTGAAATTCCAAAATATAAAGCAAGGATTCAAGTCTCTTAAACCCTAATAAGTGTATAAATATCTTTAAATAATAATAATAATAAAATAACAAACGAAGCTTTCCAAATTGTCTAAAGTTGGAATTAGGGTCGTGCCGAACAGCGACTAACATGAAAAAAGTGTACGAGTATCTTATGTTTGGAAAATAAATAAAAGAAAAAGACAGTTTTAAAGATTTATGTATGTTTGGAAAAGACAATGGTGTAAAGTAGAGGAAAAGGAACGTTTGTAGTAGCGTAAGAAGGGGATAAATTAAATAGAATCACTAAATCATTTTCATCCAAAGGACATCAAAACACTATTTTCATGTTTTTTTGTTAATGAAAATAAATACTCCGTACCTCATTTAAATTTAATATTTAGTAAAGGTTTTTACAAATATGTCTATGTTAATGGACATATTTGTAATTATTTTTGCATTTTATGATTTATTTTTGAGTGTTTATTTTTATTAATTATAGTTTTTTTTTTTTTTTTTTTTATATTATAAAATTAACCCTTATTAATTGATAATCCAGTAAATTAAAATAGATTTGCAGAATATACTGACAATCAGTTTCGCTTTCTTCTTCAACGACTCGATTTCTTCTTCCTCTTCTCTCTCCTCATCTCGCCCAGTCACACCCACCTTCCTTAATCTCAATCTTTCTCTCTTTTATATATCCATATATATATCACATTCCAGATTTACCCTCATAATTCCTGCTATTAACGATCTGCCCTCTGCCATGTTCATGCTCGTGAACTGTTCCAAGTGTCAGACGGCGCTGCAGCTCCCGCCGGGAGCCAGATCGATACGCTGCGCTTTATGCCAAGCCATCACAAATATCGCCGATCCCCGTGCGGCTCCTCCGCCGCCACAACCGTCGTCCATCTCCGCCGGCCCCCGCCCTCCTCAGCCGCCTGCTCCGTCTCCGTACAACCACGCGCCGCCAGGTCCGCCGCCGTCGGCTCACGGGAGGAAGAAGGCCGTGATCTGCGGCGTATCGTACAAGTACTCTAGGCATGAGCTCAAAGGCTGTCTCAACGACGCCAAGTGCATGAGACATCTCCTTATGAACAAGTTTCAGTTTCCAGACGCTTCGATCCTTATGCTTACTGGTATTCTACCTCTGATCTATCTCTTACACACATGTATGTATGTATAATAGTTTTGGATATTTTAGGTTAGCAAATATATATGTGTTTGCAAATATCTCTCAATGCTCTCCCTACACCGAGGCTGCAAAAGATTAATTTGAGGCCTAAGAGGCAAAATTTCTATAACGAGGCCTTTAAGAATCACACGGCTATGTGAATTGGACTCTTATATTCTGAACATTCATGTACTTTTAGGAATTAGGATACATTTAATATTTTGACTGATTTTTTTTTTTACATTATACATTTAAAATTCATAGGACAATAAATGAAATTTAATCAGCAGATTATGTACCACAAGTACTGGAAACAAAACAAACTACATGAACTGAAACTGAACAACAAGAACTGAAAAGTGAAAAAAAAAAAAAAAACTTCTTGAACTGAAACTAAACAACGGGAATTGAAAAGTGAAAAGAAAATCCAATGCATGTTTTTCATAGATTTAGTATTAAGAGTGACAAGTATGATGAAAAATTAGATGAAATTTATGTCGAGAAAAGGCAGTTGGAAAAGAAAGGTTTGTGAGAGGCATTTGGTTTTTTTTAGATTGCCATTTATGCTCACCCCCTTTTGTTCGACTATCATAATGGGCAGGGGAGTTTGCCAATGAGCCATCGATTGCTCTCCACTGTGTTATTCTTCAATCATGAATGTATTATTTTCTTGTTTCTTTATTTTAATCGGGATCTTGTAGATTAATCTTGTTCTCAGGTTTAATTTACAATTTTGCTGTACCAAAACCCAAGCTTTGTTGTTGCACTTCACGTTGTTCAAGCCAGTTGAATTGACTTGATTTGTAGTTAGTGTTAACAACTGAGAAGAATTTCAAAAGAATAAGAGAAGGCATGACATAAGGGAAGTGATGGAGTAGAAGAGTGTGTATATTCTATCACATTGTTCAATGTACTTTTTTTTTTGATAAGTACACATTGTTCAATGTACTTAACTTTGTATCTGTCTATAAAAGACCCACATCAAAAGAATTGAATAAAGTTTATATTAAATGAAATCTAATGGGTCCTCTTTCAAGTTGGGGCAGCCAGGTCAGCCTGGTCAGCCTAAAGCTTGGGTCGCCCTTGGAATGGTCTGATGTTTAAGCTTGGGTCGGCCTTGGAGTGAAACTTACGAACTTTTTATCCAATTTTTTAGCCCGCGTTTTTCTATGTCAGGATTTGATTGTATTGGATTTGATATACATTTTTGTATGAGAGATTCTTTATTATGATTTTGTAGATTCTTTTGGTGGTGAAACCTTTGCAATTGTATGATTTTGATATATAATAATATAATCTTACATTATATCCAGTGGTTCTATAAGATACCTGAGAATGGGCCTTTTCTTTATTAGGATTAGGATACATGTATTGTCTCCTCCCTAAATACTACCCACTGATGCACTTCATCATGCATTTCTTATTACACCTAGTTCATTTGTCTTTGTCATCATGTATTACCATGCCTACACATAAATACATGACGTTCACTTGTGGGGACTTTGCTGTCTTCATATTTATAACATCACTTGAAAGGCAACAAAATAATTCTTGATAGTCGTTTTTCAAATTGATATTCTCAAAAGCATCCCTCTAATGTTAATAAGCCATTGAGATTCTGGTCATTTTCTTCTTCTTGTTGGCCTTATTGGATAATGATGCAAATCAAGCACCAAACATTTAATAAGAAGCACATAATTTAAAAACGGGTTTTGGATGTCAGCAACAGCTTGAATGAATATTGTATTTAAGCTATCTATTGGAAACTAGTCGAGGAAAACTGTGATACCAGAATACTTGCATGTTTCTGCTGGAAACCCTTTTTTTTTAATTTTTTTGGAAACTATAATTCATTGATGGAATTAGGTGGGGGGACCTACCCAAAAAAACAAGGAGAGAGAGAGAAAGAAAGAAAGAATTAGGTGGGAGGAAAGGAATACTTCGGTTACTTTTTCTTTATGTTACATGGACTTGGCGTGGTGTTTGTGAAGGGCATATGTCTAAGCGTTCATATATCAAATCTCTAAACCTATGATATCTGTTGGAATTATCGTGTATGCTTCATGGGGGCATATTTATCTAGAAATGTCGGACACATGTATCACATATCCCATGCCTAACCCAAATGCCGAGTGCCGATGTGAGTACTTCATGCATTTAGAAAATTTTAGGTAAAAAAAGCTTTTCCTTGGTTTATTTTTGTTAACTTCAATCCATAGTTAATAGGTGATATTCAAATCACCATCAATATTATATTGTTACCTTGAAAGTACAAAGAATTTTTCCCTAATTGTAGAGAGAGAAACTTTACACTCTCAATGATTTTTTTCAATCCCTTTTCCCTCTCAATCCCTTCTATTTATAGACGGTTACAACCTCCACTGGGCTGGTCCTATCTTGTTCTCCTTTGGCTAGACTCGATTTCTCTCATTTTATCATGGGCTTCTGAAATGGCTTTATGGACCTGGGTCCATACGGCGCGAACTGGCTTCATCTCGTTCGTCCACACCCGACCTATCCCATGCAATGTGGATCACTCCAAACCCGGGTCGTTTTGGTATCCTCATCTACCCCCAATAATCTCTTTCCTCATTAATGAGGGTGAGATTATTGAAAGGACACGATCTTGGTCTGACGGCTTAGAGCAATAACTCGAGGAATCGAATGGCTGGCACAAGAACCCAGGTTTCGAGATCTGCAGCGCCACTTTTTGCCTTGACCTTTGGAGTTCCATGTCGCTTTTACTTCTCCTCTTTATAAATTCTGATCTTTCTCTCCTTCACCCTCTCTCTTACCTCTTACTTCTACTCCCTGTTGCTTTCCTGCACATTCCGGCGATCCTTTTTAATTTCTCCGGCAAGTTCTTCCGGCAAGTCCTTCCTTTTCGATTTTTAGCTACTGTGCCGTTGCTGAGTTCATCACAAACTTTCAAGGTTAGTTTCTTTTTTTTAAAAAACCTCTCCTTAAGAGACGCCTTTACTGCCTAGAACTCTTCCCCTTTTTCATGGCTTCCCCTAACCTGAACGCCATTCGATCCAAGAATTGTATCCCTCGCGACGTTTCTCTCAGAGTCTACCCAACAAACTTAGACGAGAGATCTGGTGAGGGTCTTCTTCCTGTGGAAGTTTTATTCTCTGCCGTTCACTTGAACGTCATTAGGTTCCCCGTACACCCATTCTTTTGTTATGCTTTCAACAAATTGGGGCTCTGCCCCCTGCAAGTTAACCCAAACTTTCTTAGGGTAATTTCAGTCCTCCTGCTCTTGAATCGTGACAGGGGTCTCAATCTTGACATTATTGACCTTCTCCTCTGCTATTGGATTAACAAGATTTCACAAAACGACTTGTATTATCACTTCTTTCCTATTGACAAACGGTCAATTTGCACTGATAAAAGCTCATTTGAAAAGGGTTAGAGGCGGAATTTAATTGTGGTTGGTGGGAATTGGCGGACTCCGCTCGGCCATTCCTTCCCTATCTCTTCTTCCTTTGGAGCCTGTTCTGTCTCTGGCTACAAAAAGCTGAAAACACATCCTTCTGAATGCCACTGTGAAAGTTGTCTTCCCCGTTTTTGCACTTTTCTTTGTAGATGCCTTCAAATTCCCCATGATGAACTAGTTTATAGCGTCTGCAGGGCTAGGCTAGATACCTTGCAAGAAAACGTGCTGATCGATGTCCCTTCAGCTACTGATTTGCTTACATCTGATAATCTTTTTGACATTTCTCTTTTAGGGTCTACAATGGAGAACATTCAGATCCCATCGTTCAGCAGGAGGAGGCGTCTTGCTCCCACCCCTTCTAACGCTCCTGCCGTTATTCCATCACCTACACCTGCTTCCACATCATCTCTTCCTGCTATCTCTGCCCCAGAGCAAGTTGTGGTTGCCCCAGCTGTGACTCAAGTCTCAACTCGTTCTGCTGATGCGCCCTTAGAGCTCACCCATGCTAAGAACCCTGTTGTGGGCCATACTGCTGAAGTCCGTCCTGCTGTCCCCGTCATTATGCCATCAAACATTTCGTCCGACACTTCTTCAGAAAGCACTCAGGATGCTGGAAATTCTAAGGACAATGGGGGGCCAGCTAATGCTGCTCTGTTGGAAAAGAGTTTAGGAAAAAGGCCAATGCCTAAGGGCGGTCATGATCAGAGTGATATCCCACCGACCCGAAGGATAAGGATGGCTTCCTTCAGGGTTACTGAACCATCGCCCCCTGCCCGGTTCTTCATTCCTGAAGGCGAGTCGGCCAAAACCTCTGGTCCAATTCCATCCGTTCTTCCATGGCGACCTTTGCTCAGCCGTGAAGATGGATCAACCATTGGCCCCACTGACTCGATATATAAAGACCCCCTCACCTCGTTTGCTTTCTATAAGGGCTTCTGGACCCCCAAAGATCTTGAAATCCAGAACAAACTGTCCTTTGGTGAGATGTTCCAACGGTTCCCGACCGCTGCTATGGAGGTGACCCTTCTTCCACTGAACTGTGTTCCTTTTCAGTTATGATTCCTTTGTACTTAGTCTGACCTGAATTTCTTTTTCTTCATGCAGACTCTGTTCGGGATGTTCACCTTTCAGAAAACAATTGAAACTCTGAATAAAAAACTTAAGTCTCTCTCTGCGGGCCTTAAAAGGTCTGTTGAAGCAGAGACTCTTCTTGAGGCCAGAGTTGCTGGAGTCAAAGCTTAGGGACTCAGAGAAGGAAGTTGCTGACCTAAAGGCAGAGAAAGACGGTCTGGCAAACGAGAGGGATTCCCTTAGAGCTGAACGGGATTCCTTGAAGACCGAACGGGATTCTCTTCATGATGAGGTTGACGTCTTAAAAACTGAGAAGAGTGTAGCTCTGACAGAAAGGGACTCTCTCAAAGCCGAAAAGGGAGACCTTCAGCGCTCATTCATTGCTGAACGGTTATCGTATGCGAATTTCCAAGAAAAACTTTTGAACGAATGGTCTTCCCTGATGAACATGATCA